GTAAAAAGTGGCGTACGCAAGTTTCTGGGCTCAAATTGTGCGTACGCCAGTTTTATAAATCCGACCCCTGGTCTTTTTATACAGGGCTCTTCAGTGCCTGGTACGCCCACTACTGGCCTACGGCTGAATCACAGGCAACTCGTCCAGAAATAATCTTCCCTAATGGATTTATAACGGTTTATTATGTGTTGTGAAGGTGTTTCGGGCATGTACCTAAAACTCTTTTAATCAGGACATTATAATAGTCAAAAAGTAGATTATAAAAGTCAAGGTTTAAAAAGGAAACTAAGACAAATGGTGTGGTGTCTTAAATCAGTATCTAACTAATAAATTCCTTCAATTCACTTTAAGTAAATGCAGAAATACCCTACAGGCTAAGGTTGAGCTCTGAGCCAGGATTCTTCTTGTCTTTTTTTTTTCTTCTCCGTGACCTTAAAAGGCTCTAAAGAGAACCCGTTGGACAGAATTTGCATCGGTTTACAGATCTTTAAAAGGCTAAGCGGCCTTGTTGCTCTTTTGTACAAAGTTAAGAGACGGTTTGAGTTGTGTCGCGGCGACAGAACGTGTCCAAGTGACATTTTCACATTGTGAGCTGAGGCTTCTCCTTCCCTCTGAAAACATTCAGAAGATCAGCCTTGGAGGAACTCAGAGGATAAGCTCTTATCCTTTGAAGGTTGACTCAGTTCTTAAGTGGCCTTACAGTAGGCCCAGCACAGCAGATGGACACAGGGAGGACTGAGGGTATTTACTGTGCAGATACAAAGATTTCAGTCTGATGTTTACACACATTCAGACGCTTCTGTATAATAAGACCTGTCTGTGAAGAACAGAGAGCTTTGAAGGACTTTATTCTTTTTTTTCAGACTGAATCGTCTGAATAAAACTGAGAAATAAAAGCCTTCAGCTCTGACAGTTATTAACATTGTTTGTCCAAACACACACCGTGTGCAGAGGCTTTGAAAGCAGCCTCTTCATTTTGTATGTTTTGGTGCAAACAGATTTGGATGGGAGTCATTATCTTTTCTCCTTCTCGCTGACTCATGAGATGCTTCTGTCTGATAGAAAACATGTTTGTCAGAAAAGAGAAGAAAAGAAAACTGTTTTAGAAAATGTATTTTCGACGATGGCGTCTTTGTTTTGTTTTTTCAGATGACAGATGCTTGATGTCTGTGATTTAAGGATCTTTATGATCCAGTTGTTTTTCTCCCTCCATGTTGTTTTTGTTTCACACTTTGACGGCGTCTTTTCACAGGGAGAGATCGGAGAACCTGGACAGAAAGGAAGTAAAGGTGATAAAGGAGAACATGTAAGCATATATTCATCATTTCTCATCCTGAGATTTTAACATTGATCCAGTTTTCTGGTGAAACGTAATGAAAAATGTTCCTCTCCAGGGTCCTCCTGGTCCTACCGGTCCTCAAGGCCCTGTTGGAGCTCCAGGTCCTGCTGTAAGTGTCCAGTTTTGTGTCAAACTTCCTGTTTCCACACATCTCCTGATTCTCACATCACGTTACTTTTCATGGCTTTGTGCAGGGAGTAGATGGAGAGCCAGGTCCCAGAGGTCAGCAGGGTATGTTTGGTCAGAAGGGAGACGAAGGCTCGAGAGGTTTCCCAGGACCTCCAGGTCCAGTTGGGCTGCAGGTGAGTAAATCAGTACATTAAATCCGACAAGCTGCGATTCTGTCATTGGTCAAGACTGAAAGCACTTAATATGGACCCCTCCTTCTTTTTTAGGGTCTGCCGGGTCCACCTGGAGAGAAAGGTGAAACTGGAGACGTGGGTCAGATGGTGAGACGGTTTGTCCTCTCTCTCTCTCTTAGTTGCTCGTACTCTTTGCAAACAAGACCAAGACTTTCTATTCTTTATAGGGTCCACCTGGCCCTCCTGGTCCCAGAGGCCCCTCAGGACCCCCAGGAGCTGATGGCCCTCAGGGACCTCCTGGTGGTATTGGAAACCCCGGTGCTGTGGGAGAAAAGGTGAGTGTCTGATCTGTTTATAATTCAGTTCGGTTTGATAACTTCAGAGAAATCTGCCTCTTTTATCCTGTTGGTCTCTGGTGTGTATTTGTGTTTAGAATGAAAGCGAGTCACATGGTTCTTACATAGTCTGGAGAAGTCTGGAGAAGTTTTCTACTTAACTTTAACCTTTTCCAGGTCTAGATAAATTTGTGAAAATAAAATCATAACATCGGTGTATTCAGACTCTTTCACCTATTGCATTATCTAAAAGTTTTAAATGGAACATTTCTAAAAGTTGCTCTGACAATAAGAGTGTTAAAATAAATATTAAATCTAAACAAAGTCACCATAATGTCCACTTTTGGTTCATGCAGTACAAAGACTGACATTTTTCAGGAATATGCTGATGGAGATTATCAGTCATCCAGAATATGATCAATCTAAAGAAAAGTAAAGAACAAAAAAACTAAACAACTGGACTAAAACTGAGGACGTTTCACTTCCTATCCAGGCAGCTTTCTCAGTTCAAAATGTCTGAAATTTGTGGAGTTCCATGTTTTATTGTAACTTTCAAATATTTACAATACAGCAGAGATTCTTATCCCATGAACGCCACCTTGAGGGCCTCAAAAGAACAACAGTTTTTAACTTTGCCGCAGAGGGCCGTGGGACCACATTGATTTTGAATAAGGTGCAATACACTTTCTCACCACTAGWAGCAGWAGTGCGCCACTCAGATGTTTAACAACTTTTTTTAATATGTAGAAGAAGAACCTTAGAAACCTGCTGAGAACGGAAACCTATTTTAAATTAAAAGTAGAAGCAAAAATAAAAGTAACTCATAAAAAACACCAAAGTTTGTCACTAATATGAAGTAGAGCTTCTGTTTTTTACCATGTAATATTTTAAAAGTTCAAAACTTTATCAAATACAGTTGCAGTTACAACCATATTTTAATTAGCACTTTAAATTATTTTTGTAGTTTATTTTTAAACATTTTGAATGTATCTTAAAGAAATTTTCAACTTGTCAAAAAGCTGTTGTTACTGTTATTGTTTGTCACTAATATGAAGAGCAGCTTCTGGTTGCAAAAGTTTTAAAACGCTATATTTTCATTTGTACTTTATCAAATTTATTTTTATAGTTTTTTTAATTTGAAACATTTACATTAAACTTTTTTTAATTTATTTATTTTATGCCCACAATTTTATTTTTTGAATTGTCTATTTTTGTTATTGTTTATTTAAAAATATATTTATTTTTGTGCTGATAAGCCTGAGTGGTCTGTTGACTGACCTTGTTCAAATAATTGTTATGGGCAGATTACAATATAAAAATATTTGTCATAATCATGTCTTTTGATTATTTGACAGGAGTTTTACTTTCAAACTGTAAGTGTATTTAAGTTAGTTATGTTAGTTATGATAGTTTAGTTCTGATGTAAATATAATAAAATTAAACTAGGATTTGAATAATTATCATTTTGATCCATACATTGTAATGTCTGACTGGGCCTTGTTCCACTTTATGTTCAACAAATAGGGCCCCGAGGTCAAAAAGGTTAAGAACCCCTGCGATACAGCATGTGTGCATGTGATCGAGACATTTCTCCTGTGAGCCGAGCAAACAAAGAGCCAAACGACTCTCCATGAGGGCCGAGTGGTTCCAAGTTAATCCACATGTGAATCTAAGCATTAACGAGGCCTCTCATGCACGTCTTTGCGCTTGGAACTCCACACTACTCCAGACAGCCTCCTGAACAGGAAGCAAAACGTCTTCAGCTTCAGAATAGACATTCATTTCTTGTGTTCTATTTTTTTTTCACATTTTGCAGAAACTGAAGTAGAAAACAAAATAAATTGTTTGCAGACACCTTGTTTTTTGTACTGGAATTTGTGACTTTACCTATTTAGTCAACAAATTAAATACAGTTTTATTTTAATAAAGTACGAATTCCATTTTGGAGTGAAAATCCTTTAAAAGATTCTGATCAAATGTGTTTCTTGGCAAAATATACATTTTTTTCATTTGTTTGTTGTCTCTCAGAGAATGTAATTAAACAGAGCAGTAATGATATAAATCCATCCTTTACAGCAGTAGGTAGGTGTTTAATTGAACAAGGTTCATTGTAAGGTCAGTGAGAAACACTCCAAATTTAGTAATTCTGCATAAACATTATGAAACTGCACTAATGTTTAAACATAATCAATTTACAGAAACTTTAATGTCAGAAAGGGCCTTGATTTGACCAAAAAAAGAAAATAAAATCTGAAAAAGTTTGAAATTGTGGAATTTCAAAATGTAAAATGTGCAGAAACTTTGGATTCAGTGTGTTAGTAACGAGTGCATCTTTGAGAAAAAAACTTTTTGGAGGCTTTTGCAGCTGTTAAAGTTTCATATTCTTATTTATATTTTACTCTTTAAATGGAGGATGGATATTTTGATGCACAATAAATCTAACAGAAAAAGAACAATATTGCTGGATGGGGGGGAGTATGACCTCCAGGCATTGTGCTGCAGTTCTAAGATGGAGGATGCATTATTAAAACCTGCTTACATAAAGTCAGATACAGTTCCTATCTCCCGCTGCTGCTTCAATATAAAGTCTTGCTTCAGCAGCTGTTAGGATGCAGAGCTGTGCACTTTGCCAACACTTTGTCTGCTGTGATGGTGTGATTAGTTGTATCAGGTTCAGTCAATAGAATCACCTCTTGCTCCTTTCTAATCTCCCTGAGGATCGCCTGTCCTCAAACACACATACTGCTCATTTGGCTCATCGCGCTCCAGCTGATAGGCTGTTTTATTGACGAGCAGCGCGACTTTTTAGCTGTAAACATATCCCTCATGTCTCTGTGATGAGCAGCTGTCTGTCATGCATTCGCTTTGAACGCTCTTAGCAGATTTTCCTCCAACACTTTGGTGGACGTGAGCAGATCTCAGATGCAACACAGCAAAAATAAAAAAGAAGAAACGGGTTGCTAAAACATGCGATTCAGCCTTGCTTATGAAAATTCATCATCCCAGCTGCTTGGTGTGGATTTATTTTAACAAGAGGGCTTTTGTAAGACAGCATAATGCTAATTTGAAGCCTCTGCTGAGAATGCAGAGCTGTTCGTGCTTGAGGGGAACCCGGATGTGCCGATCTGACACATCACAGCCCAGTTCTGCAGGAGCAGCCAGTCTGATGTGCTCTCCATCTTCCAAACATGAGAGTGTTTTCCTGCAGAACAGGTGTGGCAGGCTGCAGCTTATGTGACAGTGAATAACGATAGGGCCTGCCGTGTAGGTGAGTCAAACAGCCCAACTGCTCAACACGACACCAGGATGGGGACAAGATGTATGGGGCAGGGTCCGGCAGGAACGGTGAGGTCAGCAAACTCTCTGCTCCAGCTGCACAACTTGCCCCCCCTCTGATGGATGGAAACCTCTTGTGTCATCTCTTCTCTCATTCTGGTGACAAGGGCACCGGGACAGTTAGGGCTGACGTAGAACCCTACTGGGTCAGCAAATCCCCGACTGATAACCTACGTGTCTCTCCCTCTGTCTCACCCTCACCCCCCAACCTCCTCTCAGGGCGATGCTGGTGAAACAGGAGAACCAGGTCTTCAGGGAGAAGTTGGCCCACCAGTAAGTTTCTGATCCTTCCTGTCTTTAAATCATTAATGCAAACTGGAATCAGCAGCAGAAGACCAATCTGCGTTGGTCAAAAACTCGTTTTTACCTCAATATTTTAGGGTCCAAGAGGAGAGCGTGGAGAGAAGGGAGAAGCTGGTCCTGCTGGTGCTGCTGGACCTCCTGGTCCTAAAGGTCCTCCTGGAGATGATGGACCCAAAGGCAGCCCTGTAAGATCTGTTTTCTGTTGAAAAAAAAAACTTTTTAAAAATATATATATATTTAAAGGCACAGAAGATAAAAATAATCCTGTTAAATTCACGCAGTGTTTAAAAAAAACTGATGCAGTCTTTTATTTTCAGGGTCCAAGTGGTTTCCCTGGAGACCCAGGCCCACCTGGAGAGCCTGGTCCAGCTGTAAGTGTGTGCAAGTTGTCAACTGATTTGTAAATAAGCTCTAGTGTTTATTGAAGTTTTTAATTTCTTGTGAAAGGTCCTTGACTGAAGCTTTGTTTGACTCTGATGCAGGGTTTAGACGGTCCTCCTGGTGACAAGGGAGATGATGGAGAGGCCGGTCAGCCTGTGAGTAATTCTTCTGCAGGGCTGGGTCGGGTTTGAAGAAACATAAATTGTAAGTTGGCGCATTTTTATTTAAAACCAGGGTTCACCAGGACCCACTGGAGAGTCTGGTCCCTCTGGACCACCAGGAAAGAGAGTGAGTACTCGCTGGGTCTCTTTCTGTCCTAACTCAGTATAAAGGTTTTTATTGTCCAGCCTTATGTTTGGTGATAATCTGTGTCAAATCGTTTTTAAACAGGGGCCACCTGGAGCACCAGGACCTGAGGGAAGACAGGGAGAGAAAGGAGCCAAGGTACCCAAACC